GCCAGGGGGGGCACCCCCGCCACACGCGGACGAGGTAGCGCCAGCGCCAGCGCCGCCAACGCCAGATGAGCCAGCGCCAGGGCCGCCAACGCCAGAGCCAAACCCTGAGGAGCCAAAGCCTGGGTCGGCAGAGCCAGGGGTGGTAGAGGGGGCAGAGGAGGCAGGGGAGGCAGAGGAGGTAGAGGAGGCAGAGGAGGCAGAGGAGGCAGAGGAGGCAGAGCCTCAGGAGGCCAAAGAGGCAGAGGAAGCGGAGTCTGAGGGAATCCGCAGCCCCCCGCCCACGCCGCCAGCCGCAGGGGCTCCTGCTGTACAGTTGGCTGCAGTGGCGAGCTCCCTGCACCCGCCGCCCGCGGAGCCCGCGCCCGCCCCTCTGCGACGTCGAGCTGCAGCCCCTCCCTTGGCCAAGGGACAGGGTGGGCTCCTCGAATGCGGCTTTCAGTGCAACGATCCCCCCTCAGCTGGCTTCGGCCTTGGGTCGAGCGAGCCCGCCGCCGCGGAGGTGGCGGGCGTGGGCGCGGAGGCGGCGGGGCCGGGCCCCAACCGAGCGCCGACAGGGCGCCGCTCAGGGCCGCAGTGGCGGCCTCGACAGGGCACCGCTCAGCGCCGCATTGGCTGCCGACGTCAATCGCCGGGTGGCGGCCGTGAGAGGCGGCGGGGGTCGCGGGGGCGCAGAGGCGGCCGACGAGATGAGCAAGTTCTACCAAAATCGCGCGCGCTTAGTACTCGGAGTTGTCTGTGACGGCGACTGCGGCATTGACGTCATGACGCAGATGCTGGAGCTGCCCCAGAACGCGGAAACCCGTGCCCGCATCCGCAGGGAACTCTACGAGTACGTCATGAGTCGGTACAAGGAGCCCTGGCTGCACGACATGTTGGTGCTCACTCAGGAGCCCACAGCGGAGCAGGTGCAGAAGTTTCGGGAGTCCGAAGGCGACCACGACGACCTTTGCTTCGAAGATCCTGGCGGCGGAGGGTCACGGGCAGGAGGAGCAGGCGGGGCAGGAGAGGGGGGCGTTTCTCAGACCGCAGTGGCGGTCACCCACCCGCCTGCACACGAGAAGGTCCCTGGCATTTTGGAGGCGCTGCAGTGGTCGTGCGGGGTCAGCGACGTCGGCGTGGTGGCGCCCATCGCCGGCAGACTGCCCACCCCCGTGCAGGAAGAACAGGTGGCCGCGCACAAGGAGAGCCAATTGGCCCCCAAG